CTTGAGAGCTGAACTACGGTTGTGATTAGTGAGTTCTTAAAAACTTAAGATGACTGACATGATTCTGTGATTTAAAGCTGTAAGATACAATTGTATTAAACAACTGGTATGCCATATATTGACATAAATAAGGAGTAAAATTAAAGTTGTTTATGGCTTCAGAGAAATGTGACTTGAAACAAATTCTTTTATTTCATAATTAGCATATGGGATAGCAAGTTTAGCTGTGTTAAGTTCAAATTACTGTGTCAGACATTGCATGTAATAGGAAGATGTAGAAAATACCTACTGATGGTGTAAGCCTCTACTGGGTTTATAGTTCAGTTGACAAATAAGGCACATAACTATTGTATAATCTAACAGTAAGCTGCCATTAGCAACTAATTTGGTCCAGCCATGGAGTTTACTTCTTAGAAGTGGTTTCCTCATTTGTAAAATGAGGAAATTTGAATTGGATCTCTAAAATGTCTTTCAGTATTAATGACAATGTTAATGTATTCAATTATATGATAATGGATTTTTATCTGTGGGGAACAATCATTCTTCTTAAGCTAAGATTTAGAAACTAACCTTATTTTTTCCCAAAGGTGTTGAAATAGCTCAAATCTTGCACTAGTAGTGCTTTTCATTGACCATTTCTTTTAGTTCATATCTATCAGTTTTTAACCTTACAAATCATTATAGAAATACATATTCTGCTAATCTTTTTATTCAAGAGGAGCTACCCTCTCATATTCCCACATCTTAATAAGTAGGGAAATTGTTCTCTCTCGTACAAATTGTTCTCTGAAAAAGATCTCTTTATTTTCCCAAATGGCTCTCTTAAAAAGGAAATTTAATCATTCTACTTTGTTCTGATAGATAATGCTACTGAACGACAACTTGAGAAATTAACCCTTTGGGTGAGAATGATTTAGTCCAACCTTTTCTCTTTTTCTCTTTTTCAAACATCTTTGATTTTGCTTTAGTAAAAAACGTTCCCAAGATAGTAACTTTGAAGGCTTTACAAATTACATTGTAATCATAGAAATATAAAGACATTGCGTCATGGGTCAGGTGAGATTAAGTCAAAGAATATGAGTCCAGCAAGTGGTAGAAATTTAGGTACTATTCTTATATCAGGAAAGGAGTGAGATTGGCCATAAGACAACAAGGCTAAATTTTAATTTTTTTGACACAATTCCTGAGGGAAGCCTGGTCATCCCTTTCCTGCCCATGGTTTTGTCTGTAGTGATGAGATGGAGAGTTGAAGCTATTTTTTTTTCCTTAGTGAATGTTGAGGTTGATCTTCCAACTAATCCTGGAACTGATAGGCTTAACTTCAGAATTTGTTTGGTATCCAAATCTCTGTACGTCTAATTCTTTACTCTTATCTACAAAAGTAGAAAAGACTTCAGTAAATTTATTTCATACCAAAATTCTCCTTAAGTATTTCTTCAGAATACATTTTTTTTTGTGGGTTTTTTTTTTTTTTTTTTGATAGCTTTGCTCACCGAGTTTGGGATTTTTTTTTTCTTGGATGTGTGAATTTAAAAAAATTATCAACACAAGTGTGCTAAGCAGTCATATGAAGGCTGATGGTTTCTTTACTTTCCTATTACTCTTTGTAATCTACTGAATTATTAAAAAATTTTTTTAATATTTATTTTTATTTATTTGGCTGCATCGGGTCTTAGTTGCGGCACACGGGCTCTTTAGTTGTGGTGCGCGGGCTTAGTTTGCCCCGTGGCATGTGGGATCTTAGTTCCCAGACCAGGGGTCGAACCTGCATCCCCTGCGTTGGAAGGTGGATTCTTAACTGGACCACCGGGGAAGTCCCAATCTACTGACTTACAAATCTAAAACATTTAACCTTAACTTTAGTGGAATTTCACAGGTGTTAGAAATGTTTTTGTATTACAGTAGCTTGGGAAAGTTCTTGGGAGACAACGCTGAACAAAATGCACAAGCTTTAAAAGAAAACTCAGGTTATGTACGTTTATTAATATATACATTGTTAATAATCCTGCCTTTTTATTCTATTAATGATTTGACAAATTATTTTAAGAGCCTTCAAAAATCATCATTTGACTCAGTAATGCTTTTATTTCCAGGAAGTTTTTCCAAAGGCAACAGTCAGAGGTAGTCAAAGATTGCAGAGATATTTAGTGCAGTGCTGTTTATAAATAAATAATATTTAATAATAAATCTAGAAACAACCTAAACATAGAAGGACATGGAACTGGTGGTGTAAATTATCCTATTATACATTTATTTAAAAAATAACTTGAGGTGCTTTGACATATGAACCATTTTCTTTACCTTTTTCAGTTTTTTTAAAATCATATTTTGTATACTTTGAAAGAGGGAGCTCAAGAAGTAAAGCTCCATCAATTGAATTTAATGACTCTCTTTATCCAGGCAAATAACTTCTATGATTTATGTTAAATGCTTCTGTTTGCAGTGCTCCTATCTGTTTATACCAGGATCTCGTAAATGAGTATTGGCCTTATGGAAACATAAAGGTGTAGCATATTTCATGCTTTGTGAAATTATACGCCCCCCACGTAACTCTAAAAAATGAATAAATGGACTTCCTGATTTAAACATTTAGCTCTAACCTGTTTTATACCCGAGGATTAAAAATATAATTTGTTTCATAAAAACTTTTATTAAGGTGCTAGCCAAAATCTGTTATTTCAGTGATTTCTTTATTACCTAAAGAGCTATGGTGGGGAAAAAGAGACTAATTTAAATTTTCTACCAGCATGCAAATCCTATAGCACTTATTTTGGGGTCAGAATCTCTTGTATGTGTGTGCCTGTGTGCTGTCGACATAAACATTGCAGCCTTTCTTCTTGCGCCTGGTAGAAGCTGGTTTCAGGATGCGTGGCTGGAAATCCAGAGTGCTGTTAGCAAAGATACTGATCCTTTCAGTTCTTCCATCGTTCCTATTCTCCTCATTGTATTTAGGTCACTGAAGTATGTTTGAATACAGAGAAAAGATTGCAAAATAGAAAAATGAGATCTACTCTTAATTTACAAATTTCTAGGTTACAGAATGTCATTTTTTTCCTCATGGATATTTTATTTCTTCAAAACAGAACCATGATACCTGGTTGACATTAAATACCAAGATTAGAAAGTCAGTTCAAGCGAATGTATATCTATATGAGGTATTTGCAGTCCTAGCTTGAATATTTGGGCCTTTCTTAAGCACTTCAGTATAATCAAAAGCATAATAAAATTTTAGTTTTTTGCAAAAATCCTTGGAAATTTGAAAGCTTTCATGGGTTCTTTTTTTTTTAATATTGACATATGTCGTGAATTTTTAAATTTATTTATTTATTTATTTTTACTGTGTTGGGTCTTCGTTTCTGTGCGAGGGCTTTCTCCAGTTGCAGCAAGCGGGGGCCACTCTTCATAGCGGTGCGCGGGTCTCTCACTATCGCGGCCTCTCTTGTTGTGGAGCACAGGCTCCAGACGTGCAGGCTCAGTAGTTGTGGCTCATGGGCCCAGTTGCTCCGCGGCATGTGGAATCCTCCCAGACGAGGGCTCAAACCCATGTCCCCTGCATTGGCAGGCAGATTCTCAACCACTGCGCCACCAGGGAAGCCCCTCATGGGTTGTTTTTAATGATTTTTTAAAAGTGTACAATTCAATAGTTTTAGTATATTTACAGCTCTGTGCAACCATCACCATAATCATAACCCTTAGAGCATTTTTATTACCCTCAAAATAAACACATTCCAATCAGCAGTCACTCCTCATTCCCTTCCCCGGCGCCCCTTCTCAGCCCTAGGGAACCACCCATCTGCTTTCTATAGATTTGCCTATTCTGGACATTTCATGTAAATAGTATCCCATAGTATGTAGTTTTTTGTGAGTGGCTTCTTTTGCTTATATATTTTTTTAACTTTTGCTTATAATATTCTTTTATTTATATTTTAAGTCATAACATTGTATCCACGTTGTAGCATGCATCAATACTCCATTCGTTTCTCTTCCTGAAAAATATATTCTGTTGTATGTGTATATAACATTTTGTTATCTGTTTACCAGTTAATGGACATTTGGGTTGCTTCCACTTTTGGGCTGTTATGAATAATGCTTCAATTACAAATCATGTACATTTTTTTTTTCTTGGTGGCCCGTAGGGGGTACCGAACCATGTACATTTGTGTACAAATTTTTGGATGTATTCCTTTCGTTTTAGTAGATCCTTAAGTGGAGAATTGCTGTGTCGTACAGGAACTCTGTTCAACATTCTTAGGTACTTTCAATAGAATACCACTTTAACTATGAAGAATCAACAGCTTTTCTTTTTTTCAACTTTGAAATGGAGTGTGTTTGAGAAAGGCAATGAAAATGGGAAAGAGAAACGCTAGTGCCCTAAATCTTCGTTGATCTTTAGCTTATGTGCTGTGCCTGCTGAATCTGTCTGGAAATCATTCTTCATGGAAACAATAGGAGACTTTTCTGAAAATGAAAAGGGCATTATTTCTAATTATGTTGGGACAACAGGCATAAATTGGGACCGTCCTAGGTAAATTAGGACCCGTAGTCACTCTGTCAACCAAAAAGAAGAAAAGGCTATTGTCAGATTTAGCTTCCTTCTCTATTATGGTGAGTGAGGGCAGAGGCATCTCAGATGGGAGGGGGCAGTTTTAGCAGCCCATTCTGCCCATTTCCTCAAATGAAAAAGTATGTTTGAAAAGAGGGTGATTCTTTAGCTAATATCTTAATCACCCCTGTCCATAGTTGTAGGTTCTTTAAATGTAAAAAGAAAGCAATTGAAATTAATCAAGTGATGACTTGTTAATTTTCTAATATTTACTTGAGTGAAACATTTTATTTCTTCCAGGGAACAACAAATCATTTCAAGTTCAAGACAGCTTAGACTAAGAAACTTTCAACTGTGCTGAAAAACTTAGAGGAGATGGACACATTTTCCTTCCCTCTCATTTAAAAGGTTTTTAAGAAGAAATAAAATGGCAGAAGTTTAAAGTTAATATTTCAGGATGAATGATGATAATTCAGATGGCAAGACAGAAGATGAACTGCAGTCCTTATTTATCAGTGATAAAAATGGAAACACATATACATACAACCAAAAATCACCATGTACCCAAAACTCTTCAACCAGTAATGTGAGTTGGAATTCTGCCAACCCAAATGACATGGTGGTTGATTATGAAACCAACTCTGCTGTGGCCTTTGGTGAAAATATTTCTTTAAACCCTCAGTGTGTTGAAGTACTTGAACACCAAAAGTCTTCAAGTGACTTTGTTAGTAAGGAGATGTTGGATATGCACAAGGATTCCACATGTCTGTCTTTTGCACATGTTGTAAATACAGAGGAACCCAAAGATTTGCGTAAGAGTTGTCATTCCCTAGAATCATTTCAGGACCAGAGCGTTGAGACATCTCTGCCTTTTGTGTGGAATCCTAACGATGATGATTTGAACTGCACAGAAAACCCTACTGCCTTGGCGCTAAACCAGACATTTGACATGAAAGTGGATAATGTTAACTGTACCTTCATAACACATGACACCACTGGAAAGAGTCAGTCTTTGCCTACCACTGCAAGCCTGCAGCCAACCAGCATGAGAAGTAGAAATACATCTTCATCCTGTTGCATTCCTCCATCTTCCCATTCTGATAAGATATATGTGAGAGAAATGAGTTATGATAGAGACAGCTTTGAAAACCCTCAAGCTACAGCATCACAGGCCCAAGACAAAACTTACACAGCATTTTCTGACATGGTGATGCAAACTGATGTGGTTCTTCCAGATACTGAAAATCACTGTCACTGTTCTTCAGGAAAGGTCACCAGTGAGTACCCAGATGGGGCACAGCAAAGACTAGGCGGAGAAAAGGAGATACAAGCTCTAACACCAGTTTCTGATGGCATGGATGTTCCCAGTGGGTCTGTATTACAAGAGTTCTTTTGTTCATCTAAAGATGAACCAAATAGTGAGAGACATTCACAGAGCTCATATGGGCAAAAGGAAATGGGCCAAAATGTAAGAGAAACAGTGTCCAATTGTCTTATAGATGATGAATGCCCTTTACTGGTGCCAGCTTTTGATAAAAGCAAAACCCAAGTGCTGGACCCAGAACATCAAGTCACTGTGGCTAAAGACACACCAGTTGCCTCTAATGAAAAGGATTTGGGAACCCGAAATCATACCATAGAATTGATACCGAATAGCCCGCAAGGACAAAAGGTGGCTTCATCATTTGAACTGACTTGGGATGCAGATGATATGGTCATTAGTACAAATAACATAGTTTGCATGTCCACGCCAGTCCTAGAACCCACAAACGCAACCTTTTCTATCTCACCTATTGAAGCGACGGAGAAATGGAGTAAAGTGCAGAAGAGTAATCGAGAGCTTAGACGTTTACCAAACTTGAAGGGGGCACCGATGAACATGTCTAAACCTAATCTAGGAAAATCAACCACCAAAACGAATAGCCCCCTAGGCAGCAAATTTAGAAAAGCTGAAATTATAAGTTACCCAAGACCAAACTTCAAGAATGTCAAAGCCAAAGTTGTATCCAGACCAGTGCTACCGTCCAAGGACCCTGCTCTATCAAAGGCTGCACCCCGACCTCAGTTAACTGGGGCCTCATCACCCTCATCAGTGTCTTCCTCAAGACCGTCGACAGCTTTGAGAAAAACACCAACATCTGACTTGAATGCAGACACAAAAGCAGAAATCCTAAATAACAAGACACATAAGCAGCAATTTAATAAACTCATTACGAGCCAGGCTGTGCATGTTACAACTCATTCTAAAAATGCTTCACACAAAGTTCTAAGAACAACATCTGCCATGAAATCGAATCAGGAAGATGTTGACAAAGCAAGTTCTTCCAATTCAGCATGTGAGACTGGGTCCGTGGCTGCAGTTTTTCAGAAGATCAAAGGTGAACTCCCTATTAAAATGGAAAGCACAGAATGTTTGCAAATGTCCTATGCTTCCAACATCGATAGGAATAGCCCTGAAAACAAGGGTGAAAAAGAAAATGGGACACCGATGGCCAAACAAGAGCTAAAAAAAGAAATTATGAATGAGACCTTTGACTATAGTTCTCTGTTTTTGGTAAGTGAAATGTTTGCCTGCTTCAGGAAATGGTGGTGGAAACGGAGAGATGTATTAGCAATTGCTTATCCACTAATAGTCAGTAATATTGCTGGACTAGGTGTGCAGATTTGCTTTCAGGTATTGCTGTGTTATTCAGTAATTCTTTGTCTCGTCAGTACATTTTAGAATGTTAATTGGTTACCTGCATATTGGAAAACAAACAAACAAACCTCAAGTCCAGGATTTTGTATTGAGTATCAACATTCCTTTTAATAGTAAGCTGAAAGAACAGATTACTTTAATATTTTAGTGTAATTAGTTATTTGAAGTTAAATATCTGATTATATTTATGAAAAAATAAACGTTTTGTTTATGAACTTACAAATGTATTGGGCCACATTTGAGAAATGGCTATAGGCAGTGCTGGTAAACAGTATCAACGGAAAAATAATTCTTGGTCTCCTGTTGAGGAAGCTGCCCCAGGTAGTGGAGCCCTGTCCTGTGAACAGGAGGATTCTGGATTCTGCCTCTGATTAGCTAAGGTGACTCTGGGCAAGTAACCTTTTGAGACGCAGAGGTGAAAGGATTGGGCTAGTAGATGTCTGAGGTCTCTTGCAGTCCCGGTACTAGAATAAAACCTATTTTATTCATGTATAGTGAAAAGGCAGTATCTTTTATACAGTACTTGGCGGATGTTTGGGGGTTCCATTTAAACAAGAATTCACATGCAGTTCAAAGATTTTTTTTTTTTTTTCCAGCATGGATATAGTTTTGACTCTAGCATGAAGAAACTAGCTTTCTGAGTGTTGGAAGCATTTGGGAGGCTGCTCTGGGCTTTGTGTGTTCATCTTCAGTGCTGTTTTGGCAGTGGGGACTTGCATGCATCTCTAGCCCCACCTAGGCTTTTCCTGGGCGTCTGTCCTCTGGGCCAGGAGTGGAGGTCGGTGCCGGGGTAGGAAGGCAGATGGGAGTCATCTGTGTGGAGGGCTCATGTCTGAGAGGAACGACACGTGTAGTTTGGTGAAGTGTTAAAGGGCTGTTTTAAGTGTTTAGAGGGTGCATAGGGAAATGTTAGGTCCTTTTAGGAAGATATTCTTGAGCTAGTTCAGTTTAGAGATGCTTTGGCGTTTATGGTAAATCTTCCTTTTAGGAAGAATGGCCCACCGCAGTGATGTCTAAGCTACTGAGACTGTCCATTATTTCAAAACTCAGATTTTTTTTTCTTTTTTTTTTTAAATTGAGTATATAAATGGTCTTTCACTGTAACTTTTATTCTGCTCCCTGCTTTTCTTCTCTTTATGCTATACCACTGAGAACTCTTTAATTAATTTATTTTCGACTGTGTTGGGTCTTCGTTTCTGTGAAAAGGCTTTCTGTAGTTGCGGCAAGTGGAGGCCACTCTTCATCGCGGTGCGCGGGCCTCTCACTATTGCGGCCTCTCCCGTTGCGGAGCACAGGCTCCAGATGCACAGGCTCAGTAGTTGTGGCTCATGGGCCTAGTTGCTCCGCGGCATGTGGGATCCTCCCAGACCAGGGCCCGAACCCGCGTGCCCTGCATTGGCAGGCAGACTCCCAGCCACTGTGCCACCAGGGAAGCCCCAAAACTCAGATTTTTATTTTTAAGTCCTTTCGAAGTCAGACTTAGGAAACTCATTTGATACAATTTTTAATCAGATACTTTGTTAAATTAAATGACAGCCTCTGGTAATTCTAAGCAACGTTCTTAGTTTGGTGTTTATAGATACATATACATGAAAACAGTACGTTTATTCTTCCTTGATTTGTGGGAGACTTTTATTGTGCACTAATCTCCAACTTCCAGAAAACCTAGCATAAAGTTTCTTTAAATAACATTTGCCTTGCATATAAATTGGTTGTGTAATTTTGAAATTATAAGTTTTTCTGATACGTGTATTGAGAGTAAGTCTTAGCTTTCTATTTCCCATGTGCGGAATGAAAGCCTGTCTTTCAGGCTTATGGTGTGATGCTGAAGTAAGGTGGCAGAATCATCACATTGAAGTGGATCCCAGTACTGGAGACGAAGCACTTTTCATCTCAGGAATCTTGCAGTTAGGATTTTTCCGTATTTTCAGTACTGACACTTTTACTTGTTGATGAGTATTAACAACTCATTTTCCCCCATGACAATGTTTCATGTGCAATTCCCTCTAATATCACTGTTCACCTCTTAACACATTTCCGTGTATCATGGGGAAGGGGCCCAGCAAACCGTCACCGGCCACAGGCATTGTATTTGTTGTAGAGAGTTGAATGAGTGAGCCTTTGCATCATGTTGTAGGCAAACCCTTATGTTTCTTAGTCATTTCAGCAGCACCCAAAGGCTCTGAATCTGCCCTGGTTCTGTGAGGAGACAGTGTGGGAGAAATGTGCATTTTCAATGTGCTCTGTTGGTCTTGAGACAAAGTAGGCCTTGAGTTCACTGAATCCTTAGGTTGCCTGCAACCTCCCAGCTGTTTGGTCGGGGTTTACCTGAAACTTCAGAAAGCTTCTATTGGAAAAGGAATTTGACTTTAATTTGTTGCAGGTTGAGTATATAGCTCCCCGTTATAGAGGTTATATTATTGGTGATAGTATGTTAGATGAACGGGATGGTGAATTATCTAAATGGAAAGAAATTGATATTTTTTTCGATGACTGCTCTGGGCCAAACCCTTTGCTCAGGTGCTTTATGTATATTATATCATTTAATTTTCTCAGAAATGTTCAGGTGCTTTATACACTGTCATTTACTCTTGCCAGTAACAACAGGAAATTTGTTAGCTACAGTTTAAAGCTTCATAAGTGGTTGCTTAACACACACACATAGCTGGTAAGTTGTAAAATTGAGATTCAAACTCAGGTCCCCTGACTTGAATCCTGGCCCTTTCTGCTCCACACACTGCAGGCTTTCAAAGTTCTATGGAATGTTGGTTCTGAAGGGCAGAACAAATCTTATTTGTTAAAGATTCACTTTGTAAGTTGGTTAAAAGTTTGGTTTACTTTTTAAAAGGTTTTTCTGGGGCATCACCTTAGCCAGTTTTATGGTAGAGGGAGAAGATCTTTGTGTCCATCACCTGCTTTTTTTGGCCAGTTTTATGTTGCTTTCCAGTGTTCTCTTAGGATACGGCCCATTTAATTTAGTTTTTAATCCACCTAGTGTATGTCATCAACATGGGGCTTTATGTATCTCTAAGGGAAATTATCCACTGATGACTTTTTAATAAATTTATTTATTTATTTTTGGCTACGTTGGGTCTTCGTTGCTCCACGTGGGCTTTTCTCTAGTTGCGGAGAGCTGGAGTTGCTCTTTGTTGTGGTGCACGGGCTTCTCCTTGCGGTGGCTTCTCTTGTTCTAGAGCACGGGCTCTAGGCACGCGGGCCTCAGTAGTTGCGGCTTGTGGGCTCAGTAGTTGTGGCTTGTGGGCTCTAGGGCACAGGCTCAGTAGTTGTGGTGCACGGGCTTAGTTGCTCCGCGGCATGTGGAATCTTCCCGGACCAGGGCTCGAACCCGTGTCCCCTGCATTGGCAGGCAGATCCTTAACCACTGCGCCACCAGGGAAGCCCTGCACTTATGACTTATTAAGCAAAGAAAGAATGGTCCTCGTGGGGAATAGTCAACGTATAGGTTAGGAGCATCGATTTTGGAGTTTGATGTGGTTTCACATTGTAGCTCCATCCATTCATTGGCAAAATGACCTCAGGCAAGTTACTTAGTCTCTGTGAGGCTCAATTTTTCTTTAATGGGAGAATACAAATTATTGCTTATGGTGTTGAACTTTGTTCTTTGAGCAAATCTCAGGTTCTCTTTTCCTACACGTAGAATGAGAACCTTTATTGGGTGCCTACTTTGTGCTCTATATGACGGTGATGGTTGGGATTTAGAGAGGGGAAGACACAGCCCCTGGCCAAACCTAGTGCCTAGTACAGTGGGTAATATGAGAAGGTAAACCAAAAGGGCCTGTTAGGTCCTCAGTTGGGAGTATGTGTAGACTCCCTATCCTGCTCATGGCAGAGTAGGGTGGTGGCGATGGGGAGAGTTGTCAAGGAAGGGACGGCTTCTAGGGGAGAGAGCACGTTAGTCACTAGCTGAAGCTTAAAGATCAAGGATGAATGGAAGGGTATTTTGGGTGGAAGGAATAACGTGTACAAAGATGAAGAAACATTCTCAGGGGACGCAGGGTAGTGAGTATCATGGGAGCTGGGGGTGCAGAACCATGAACAGTAAGGAGCAAGCTGAAGAGGGTGGCAGGGCCGCCACATCCAAAAGGCCTTATTTGGAAGAGTCGACTTTATCTGGGAGACGGAGGGAAGCCTCCTAGCCCAGTTTGGGCTTGAGAGAGATCGCCTTAGCAGGGGACTGGGAGGTGAATTGGATATGGTTCCAGGCATCCCAGAAATGACGCAGCCTGTACTAAGGCCAATGGAGAAGGGTGAGAATGACAGCCAGAGGGGCTTAGGAGGTAAGAAAGGAAGCCCCTAGAAATAGCTTTCATTGTGCAAGTTGGGTGCCTGGGCACATGGTGGTGAATATGAGGAGAGCTAAGTTTTGAGATGGGCGGGTAAAATTCTAGAAACTGCTTCATGTTCTGCCGTGAAATGCAGTGTGATGAAAGTATCAACCTTGTAGGGTTATTAGGATTAAATGAATTGATATGTGCATTTCGAACCTGTTTTTCATTCTGTAAGGTCTGTAGGTTGATCAGTAAAAATAACAATAATATTACTGTCAACATTGTTACGTCGAGGTGCCTGATGGATGCTAAGTGAAGCAGAGGAAGAAAGAAACTGAATATATGGGGAACTCGAGAGAGAGTGTTGGCTTGGACATGAGGACTTGGGATACAGCGGTGTTTAGGTGGCAGTGGAAAGAGT